ATGCTTCGTTTTATCCTATCGTCTCTTTTTTTCCTTTCTCTCTTTTTTTTTCTTTTTCCTTCTCTTTCCTTTTTGTTTTATATCCATATCTGGCCGTGTTTTTTTTTTTCGCATTTTCTCCTACGTCGTTCTTCTCTTGTACCTGTTTGACGCCACCTTTTTTCTCAACATTCTTGCACGGAATTCCGTAGAAACACCTACTTTCTGGAACTTTTGTTTGATTTAGGATAATTGGTGACAATATAATGGCCGCATCGAAACCCGCTTACAAAGTCGCCGATATCGGTCTCGCCAATTTCGGTCGTAAGGTATGTGCATTACTTTATTAGTTTTGTATCCGCTTAATTAGATATAACTCCCAAATGGTTCACCTCTTCATCTTGGCTGAGAGGTGTTACTAAAGTGTCGGACTGCAAAGTGCAGCACAGGGTTCAACCTCCAGCAAGGCCACCCCATGCTGCGAAGGAGTCCGAGCTTTCCACCCGAAAGGCCCAGCTACCAGTAAACCGTATGAGGATTGACCGACCGCCGTCTTGCTACTGCTGAATCAGCATAGTTTATCCTCTGCCAGCGTCCGCACTATCAGCGAATAGGGCCCGTCCAGGTGTCCCAGTAAGTAGCCAGAGATCTATCTACTCGAGGGTTCAGTTGAAGACAATGTGTGCCTTCTCATGTTTGATATATTTCACCAATAGTTTAGTCCATTTTTGAAGAACCTCTTATGAGAATGAATCGTTGTAAGTACTTGAATTGAGGGTGATGGCCGAGGGGTTAGTGATACTCGGTGCGGGGTTGATCCTCCCGCTAGAACTACTACGATCCGCACATTTAAAAATGTGGTGCCGCAAATGAAGTTAATGATCAATTCATTTATCGTCTACGAATACTACACTGATTTCTTTGAGTGATATTAGCAATGCTATTTCTCGTTGTTTGAGGAGATCATCATAGCCGAGAATGAAATGCCTGGTCTGATGGCAATGCGCACCAAGTACGGACCATCGAAACCGTTGAAAGGTGCTCGCATCGCCGGATGCCTTCATATGACCATCCAGACGGCGGTGCTTATCGAAACTCTCGTTGAACTCGGAGCTGAGGTGAGCTGTGCTTTTCTCGAAAATCCATCTTTAAATCATCTATACTTTTATTTGGGATCTTGTGACTTCAATGCTTTAAACGATTTTGATGGTTACATGTCGAATGTTAGTCGTTTTATTCAACCGCTTATGGCGATGGTATGATTTTATGAATATATGCTCAGTGTTATAGAGTATGTGCAAAACTTTGGCGCCAGGCGGGACTAGAACCCGCACCTCACTCTTTCCGGGAATGTGTGCTCAATCCGTTACACTACTGACGCCCATTTTGCACATCGCTCTTTCTACGCTAGTAGTGTAACGGATAGAGCACACATTCCCGGAAAGAGTGAGGTGCGGGTTCTGGTACCGCCTTACGCGAAAGTCTGCACATTGCTCTACATCAATGGTTACATGTCGGTTCACACTCGTGAAGTAGGCAAAGTCTTAGGAAACGACGAAATAAGGTGAAAGAAGAGAGATGCCTGGTGATATGTTACTCACTTCGTTTTCCCCTTTAGCGTTACTTCAAGTTAGAGTGGAAAGATACTGACTCAGCCAGATTGTCTTTAGTTTTAAGCTTAGCAAATAAGCTGTAGAGTCTAAAAATGTTTTGTTCCAAGATTTTTTTCTCTACGATTCCCCCGCAGCGTACGGCATGATTCCTTAGAATTCATGGAAACTAGTGGGTACACACGTTATCCGCTATTTTAGTCGCAAAATATGGCAGAACGGCTTCTAGTCGTGTGCAAGTGTAGATGAGCTTTCATTGCTGATTACGGGGCTCTTATTTTCTAATGAAAGAACATCCTTGATTTTAGGTCCAGTGGTCGTCATGTAACATTTTCTCTACTCAAGATCATGCTGCGGCTGCCATCGCTGCTACTGGAGTTCCGGTATACGCTTGGAAAGGAGAAACTGATGAAGAGTACGAGTGGTGTATTGAGCAGGTATAAAATGGCGTTGTTTTCCACTCTATAGCTTTATCTTCGATAATTGCGATAGTCCACAAATCGAGCAGAACCCGTCGTCTTTCGATATTTTTATAGTCAGTTCTCTCGGGAGCCCAGCTCTCTCTACAGAGAGTTATCGAAGACGAACGTCTTACGCTCTATGTCAGGCGAAATTTTTAGAATAAAAATATCGAAAGACGACGGGTTCTGCCCGACTCACGAGTCTGTAAGGACGAAACACGTGTAATGGGCTGTACAAGAGCCCTTACCAGACCATACGAAAGTTGGCTCAAATAATAATGAAAGGATTTATTGAAATTTGAGCGTGGTCTTGATAAAGCACTTGAAAGAAAGGTGTGATCCACAAAGTAAAATTTTGTCCACCTTCTCTAAAAGATTATCTAAGCTCTTTAGACACTTGTGTTTTCTGGTGACCGACCTCTTAACATGATACTTGACGACGGTGGTGATCTTACGAATATCGTCCATAAGAGGTATCCTCAATATCTTTCCGGTATTTATGGACTGTCTGAAGAAACCACCACGGGTGTGCACAATCTCGCCAAAATGCTCGAGAAAGGTGAACTCAAGGTATGTCATTCCTACGGATTGATTAGTCGGAAATCGTGGCGAGTAGCTCTGCAAAAGTAGTGCTGTGTAATGGTATGGAGATAGAATACTGTGGTGTCTCGTATGATTTGCATCCGTCGAATTCGCATTATTCATTCAGATTCCTGCTATCAATGTAAATGACTCAGTGACCAAGTCCAAATTTGACAACCTTTACGGAATTCGTGAGTCGCTCCCTGATGGAATCAAACGCGCCACTGACGTCATGCTGGCTGGAAAGGTCGTTGCCCCTTTCTTGTCTGTATTTCCTACCTTTTCTGCTCCTCTTCAATCGTTCGCTCTAAGTGTTCGAGTTCCTGCATCCTTCTTTTACCAGCTAAGAACATTTCCTAAAGGTCTCCGTTGTTTGCGGATATGGTGATGTTGGAAAGGGATCGGCGGCTTCATTGAGGGCTTTCGGTTCACGTGTCATCGTCACCGAAATTGACCCTATCAACGCCCTGCAAGCAGCCATGGAGGGTTAGTCCTCTGGAAATTGTATTACGATTATGCAAATGTTTCTTGATATTTCAGGCGCTTAATGGATTTGTAAGGGTTAATGTCTAGGTTATGAAGTGACCACTTTGGACGAGGCTGCTCCGAAGGCGAATATCGTTGTCACTACTACGGGATGCAAGGACATCGTCCTGGGTCGACATATGGAAATGCTTCCTGACGATGCTATCGTGTGCAATGTGGGGCACTTTGATTGTGAAATCGACGTCAAGTGGCTGAACAACAATGCTGTCAAAAAAGACACCGTGAAACCTCAGGTCTGGCAACCATATACGAGATTTTAGGGTTGACGTTATGTTGATCGCAAATGAAACTGATCATGATAAGAACAATTACAGTGCAATAGTTGATTGTAATGCTATTGTAGTGACTTTGCTCTCTTTAAGGTGGATCGCTACCTGCTGAAGAACGGTCGTCATATCATATTGCTCGCCGAAGGACGTCTCGTTAACCTCGGCTGTGCCACTGGTCATCCATCGTTCGTGATGTCGAATTCGTTCACCAACCAAGTACTGGCTCAAATAGAGCTCTGGACAAAACACGGTACGCCAAACGAGTACAAAGTTGGACTCTATGTCCTGCCCAAAACCCTCGATGAAGAGGTGGCTGCATTGCATCTTGAGAAGCTGGGCGTGAAGCTGACCAAGCTCACAGACGACCAGGCTGCCTACCTTGGTGTTCCCAAGAATGGCCCCTTCAAGCCCGATCATTACAGATACTAGGCTGTATTTTTTGCTGCCCATTTCTTTCCTTCATGTTGTTATTGTTGTTTTTCGCTATTTATTACATTTTTCTGCTGTTCAGCCGAAAGTGTGTGGTCGATAGTTCTATAATTTCCACCAAGTTTAAGCTATTTCTTTTTGAATTTCCAGTGTTTTGCTGAATATGTGATTGTTAGCAATGGTGAAGCGGGCTCATCTGAGTGTGAATTTCCGTTAATAAAAATAAATTATGTGGTTGTATGTAAGTAGAAGAGTTGTGTTCATCGTTATACCTGCATATTTTCAGTCAACTCGAGCGTCTTTCCGTTCAATTCTCAATTTTTTCACAGCGGCTAAGACCTACTGCTCTGTTTTAAATTATCTGGAAGTAGTAATACATCAAAGGACACTGAACAATAACACGTGTGATCTCGGTGGTGTAGCGGTAGTTTACGCGCCGGTGTGGCTGAGACGCGGGTTCAACTCCCAACTGCGTTGGAAGTTTTGCACACCACTCAGTACTCTTGAAAAGATATTTAGAAGGTCGTAACACCACTAAAAAGCAGCAAAAATCGGGAATTTCTGTAGGTTGCTTGGAGTATTTAGTCATGAGTGTTTGACTCCTTGATATGCACCGGTGGAAATAAACGATAACGACGATTGAGGTTGAGGAGAGGAGGTCCAAGTGGATTGCTGTTGAACGTTCGGTTCAATTCTATTCGAGACACTCTTAGATGGAATTCTTACTGTGTTCATCCAACCACAGCTGTGCTGATTTGATCTGCTCGCATTTCCACAAACTTGGGTAATAAAACTTAGTGGTGCATTTTAGACGAAGTGGACTGGATTTGACTCAAGTCAACTTTTTCTTGTATTCATCAATGAGACAGATATTTATCAGTTTTAATTTTAGCCTTCTCCATCATGGGTTCGTTCTGCTGCTAGCGGATTTAGGGTTACGTAATGATTTTGCCTGTGAACGCCAATGGGGTTTATCTGTCATATACAAATTCAATGCTGCTATCATTGTGGATTTGATCGAAACTTTCTATAGGTCAGGTAGTCGGTATACATATTTTGCCGCCTAGTAGCAGTGCTATGATGTTTCATATATACCTAAGAGAATTGAGAGGTGAACAAAAACACGGCCCCAGCCGGGAGTCGAACCCGCGTTTCATCCACACCGGGAACGCGTGCTACCACCCACCCCATTGAGGCCACCACTCTGCTACCGCTTTTCTAGTTCTCGGTTTATTCCTAGTTCGTTGCCATTTATGGAATCGAATAGTCACCATTATAATCTTATTTTCACGTTTTTCTTTAGATCTTCAAGTTTTATCCCACTATGCAAAGGTGTGAGGAAATGTTGCGGTCATCTAGCATGGTACAAATGTATACGTTAATTTTCTCATTTTTGTTAAAGACTTTTTCTAGCATACCAGACTAGATGCCTTTTCATTGAAATTTCAAGTCAAACCTGGAGTATGCATTATACCCAGAGGAAATTCAACGCATTGTAATCAATGCGTATGGATTGCAGTACAGTTTTCTTCCGGTTAAATCTTCGTGATATTTTCCACTAAGCCTTTTCTCATCCGCTAGCGTCTTCAATAATTGTATAAGGTATTTATTAAGAAGTTACATAATTCAGAATTTTCAAGACTGAATCTCTATCTACCTCGATATTCAATAACCCTTTTCGAGAGTGTGGAACCACGGCCTCCGCATTTCTGACTGGCAACTCTGAATGGTTTGCGCCACTTTCTCCGCATCTCATTCCTCGGCGTGTTGCGTCGAACAGTGGCACGCTGACGGTTAGAGATGCAGAGAGGTGGTGCAAACCGTCCAGAGTTGCCAGTTGGAGATGCTGAGACCGTGGGTCCACGGTCCTGAAAAGGTTAAATCCATAGGTCTTTCTCTTGTAAGCCAAACTCAAAGTTGCCACTATACAGTCTATTCAAGCAGCTGAGCTTTCGGCTGTTTCTTCTTCAGAGCCTGTAAAGATGCAAGACGACATTGTGCATTGTCCAGTCAGCCAAACACCTCCATACTTCCTTTAGGAAAAGTCACCAGACCCAATTTCCAATCGCATCAAGCACAAGGTCAGCTTTCAACATACTCATCGCTTTCACAAGTTTTCCACTATGTTGTTGAAGTGAACATCACAGGCAGAGGTCATAAAGAGTCGTTACGCACCTCCGGCATCAAAATAACTATCTCATATACTAGTAGTACCTTTCAGCTGACTATTCTTTGACCTCGATTGAAGATTCAGTACAGTCTGGTAGGATGCTTTGAGCTTTTCATGAGGTCTACTATGACCATCTCCGTGGTTCACGTACGTTTCGGCGTTCTCGCACGCCTCATCAGCCGTCATGCGACCCGTCAGGCATGTGGTACTGATGAGGAGTGCGAGAACGTCGAAACGTTCCCAGACCACCAGGAAAGGCCATAGCAGACCTCATGAGGGGCTTGAAACATTCCATCAAACTGAATTGTCTTATAACCGATATGTGGAGTGCTGTGCAAAAACGTTGCGTCAGTCGCGATTCGAACCCAGATCTCACTCTTTCCGGGAGCGTATGCTAACCGTTGCACTACCGACGCGTAAATAAGAATGCTCTGCAAAACGAGCGTAAGTAGTGCAACGGTTAGCATACGCTCCCGGGAAGAGTGAGATCTGGGTTCGGTCTTACATACTGTTTCGTACCACATGTGACCACGATGTTCTCCTCTCTGTGGTTCATGCCTGGATTGTGGTCTTACGCCGTGAGGTCTTCTGTTCCTGTGTGAGGATGCTGACTTCTATCTCGAGATCACTTCTGTCGTGCTCTGGAGTCGAAACATTTGCCGTCAGAATAAATTGGGATACTGAAACCTCGTGTTTTAGAGTTTGAAGGTTGTCCTTTGGAGAAGGAAAAGTGCTATTCAGACCCGACATCTCTTGTTCATCTCGACACAGACAGCGTTCCATTCCATCGTGGCGGAGAGGGTGGTGAGATAGTAGTGTATTTGCTCTGTGCAAACACGTCGATGCATGAGACTCGTGGTGGTAACTGGTTGCCCTTCATACTGTTTGGCTAACACAAAGACAAAGTTTCTTGAAGGGCTAGTAGTTTTTCTTCTCTCTTTCCCACTTCCTCTTCTCTTCTTCTTCTTCTCTTTTCGTCCTCCTTTCTCTTTTCATTTCCGCATCTTCGCTATCGTTTGTACACTTGTCTTATGCCAAGAAGTCACTAAAATCAGGTCACTAGTTCCTCCCCTTGTGATGATTTTCAGATCATCCATCTAGTTCTTTTTTCCTCCTTTTCTAGAACAGGATTCGTATCTACATCTACTTTACCAATCCGATTACTTCTTGTATTGCTTAGTTCCCTTCCTTCTTTCATCTACTGAGATCTTCGAAATTTGGCATGTGAGCTAGGGCTCTTGCTTCAGAAATTCCCCCTCTTTATGAATGTCGATCAAAGTTGATCGAGTCTGTTTTCCTTAGATTACTCTGATAGTCGTTCTAGGACGTGCCCAGGTGGCTTGAAGAGAGTTGCTTCCAGACAAATCTTGTTCCACATTCTGAACCCCGGAGTGACGAGAGGCTTGATGGGCCCGGAGTGTGGTCGAACAAGCTATCGTGGCCATTACGCTGCTCGCTCTTTGTCTTTGCTTACCGTAATTCTGAAAAGATTGCGTTCCGCAGTTCAACGATAAACCCAACTTTTTTCCCATACCACATTCTCCCGAGCTAGCGAAAGTGTAGCTTATGCCGGTATGAGATTGTTGCATATCTAACGATGCGAGAACAAAATCTCATTGTTAGTCAGCGGAGATCTGAATCGACCACTGAAATCGCGTATATGGCAGTTCGATCGATTATGAAGGAAAAGTGGACTTGTTGTATTTGAACGGTCATCGATCATCGATGGCTTCACCGTTCAGCATGAAAATCTCCCTAACGAATTCCCAAATACGTATGTTTATTGATTTTTGCAACAAAAGAGTACGTCTGATTTTCCGCTCAATGGATGAGAAATTTATAGTGGGCCTCATTGAGATGAGCGACCTCATTCTAAAAAGTGTTTTTGTGTAGGCATTGCATTGCCTCAGAAAGAAGGTTCTTATCGAGCCAGAGAATGTATGACATTTATGGCTTGGAAGTTACTGACTCAGTGGAAGAAGCTTCGTAGGGGAGTAGGCAGTCTTGAGTGAAATGCATCGTCTCATTTCATATCGTCTGAGATGCATTCTCGCGCATTGCATTCAATACACGCTCCCTAAGTTGAGCAAGGTTCTCTGACTCTGCTTCATCAGGGTTAGATTTGTTTCGCTCTTGGTTCGCTAACTTTAACTACCCCACTCACCACCACCTGGGGACGCGCCACAAACCATCGTGACTACTCGCGCAGGGTTCCTTCCCTGCATGGGGTTTGATTCAGTGGAAGGCAACGGTGTACTCGTCGATGAAGAAGAGCACTAACTATGAAGACATGTAGTTGTTATCTACTTCGCATTCTGGACTGAGGATCTCTAGCTATTCTCCTTTTGCTGTGCTGCTTCAATTCGCAAGAACACAATGGTCGTTTTATCTGATGACATATTTTGAGCCTTTCATATGAGGTCTGTTATGGCACTTATAAAGAGCTAGACAGGTGTTTCGGCGTTTCAGCCTCATCAATAACGCATTGTCTTTCGTTTCAGCCATTCCTTTTCAAGGGAATGTATCCCCTAAATATAAAAGAATTGACGACGAGCATGTTACAGTCCACCCTTAAGGTGAAAAAATGACCAGAAGGTCGGGTGATGTTATTTCTAGACATGTGATTTGTTATCTCTGCAGTGTGAAGTGATTCTCTCACTGCGTGCACTGTGTAACATCTTCGTCGTCGATTCCTTTGCAGGTGGGAGGAGGGGGTCTTGCTTATACGCGATTGGCTGAAACGAAGGTCACTGTGCTACTGAGGAGGCTGTAAGGCCGAAACACGTGTCTAGCACTCTATAAGTGCCATAACAGATCTAATGAAATGCTCAGAATATGTTTTAAAATCAAAATGTTTTAAGCGAGGTCTCAATGAAATAGTCGAGTATAGAACAATGTTCGTTTATTTGCAATTCCATGTCTTGAGCCACTTACCCGCTCCAGCGCCCCTACGAACAGTTCGCCTCAATCATCGTATCTTTTCCATGGTTATTTTTGTCTAAGTTTAAGTGAGATTCGACGATCTTTTATGTTTTACCAGGTTATAATTTATTCAGCTTTCTTTTCCGTATGTAAATTTCGACATGTTGGATTGATTAAATTTGCAATCTCTGACAACCAGCCAATGGTAAACACGTGATGAATGGTTATCGCTAATCCTCTGAAGGTCTTCTCAGTCTCATCGTGGGGGAGGAAGGGTCTTCCTAGGTGACCAACTGCGATTTACGTTAGCCGTTTGTCCACTCTTTAAACTCACCCAGGCCTAAATGGAGTTCGATTTTCTTTCGTTGTAAGATATTCGATATATATAAGTGTTAGGAGTCTTCAAAGTCGTTCTCTAGAAAAAGAAATCTAAGAGAAGAGAACTGGAGGTCTTGAGAGGTGAAACCTTTTTCTCCATGGAAATGAGCCACAGAAATATTGAATATTTGAGCATAGGGGCTGCACGTAGATCAGAAGAACGATGTCTTTGAACTTGAGAAGACTACATGTTATAAAGAGGACCACGACCGAGTGGTTGCGATGCTCACTGTGGCGCGGCCCGGGACTAATCTCCACCCAGCAACACCCTTCGCCACTCAATAACGAAGGCCCTACGGAGCAATCCAGCATGGCTATCCTTGAGACTGCAAGGAGACGTGCTCAGCCAGTATTCTACGACGTTCAGGAAAGAAACGACGGAAAACGTGTTGAATGCTAGAAGTGCGGAGATTTTCAGGGTAAAAAAAAACTGAGACGGATCAAGTAAACTGATAAAGTGGAAGTGACATGTAGTTGACGCAACGAGGTGAATAGCTAAGTGAGCTCTTTAGCCTGTTTCTTTCTTGTTCTGCTCGTTTTTCTTGTTATTCGACTACTTAAACAGCGTCGTTTATCACTGTTTAGATTGATATGTGACCGTGTTAGTATTGTAGATGACTTTTTTTACATGCTCCTTATATGATAACAGCATATTTTAGTCCTTTCAAGGAGTTCGTTATGGCACTTATAAAGTTCCAGACACGTGCTTCGCCTTTCTGCCTCATCAT